ATATCTGTACAGCCAGGGGAATGGAGGTGAATGGGAAGGATAGGCTGGAGGGTGTCCTTTTTACCCCATAATTCCTGTAGGTGGCATCATTACCCATTTGATTTTTTTAAATCCCAACATGCATTGTTGGGGAATACTCAGTCAGTAATTGCCCCTTCCTGGATGTCAATTAAATGAGGACCTGCATATATTTAAAGTCACTTTATGGTCCCTGGTCTCTCAATGACATTCTAGCAATAGAAAAAAGGAGAAGTTATTAGTCTATATTTTATAAATTATGCAAGTATGACATATACATTCTTTAAAAATGCAACCTATTGATTTTTTTAAATTTATTGTGCTACTATGAAATCAACTAATAGATATTTGATTTTAGGCAACAAATTAAATCTAATCTTCTGACCGCCCACATATCTTTATAAAATTCACTTAAATCCCGGAAGGCTAAAAAGCTACTTCATATTTGTTTCATAAACCACAGGTAAACTTCATTCAACAGCAAATATCAAAGGTTATTAAACTGTCAATAGTGTGCTTTGTCAAAAAGAAGAATTTCAATATTGGTAGAAAGAATCTTAACATTTAAGTGTTCTCAAACTTTTGTGATATAGGCTTTTTTTGAACTGATAAACAGATCTGGTTGAAAAATGAAAGCATTTTTAGTGAGAACTGTCCCATGAATACTTAAAAAAAATCTGATTTTTTTTTAAATTTTCTGTTCTTTATAAAAACTGAAAAGGCCAGAAGGAACCATTGTGTTCATCCAGGCTGATTTACTCTAACACGGTCCATAAAACTTCTCCAAAATAATTCTTAGAGATTATCTTTTAGAAAAATATCCAGTCTTGATTTATAAATTTCAAGTAATGGAGAACCTACAGTTACAGTGGTTAATTATCCTCAGCGGTAAAATTTGCTTGTATCCAGTTGGCTGTGTTACATCTTTCTCTGCTAGAATGAAGAGCCTACCACTAAGTATTTGTTCCCCTGGTAGATACTTACAGACTAATCAAATCACCTTTTAATCTCTTTATTAGCTAAATAGATTCAAGCTAAATATTGTTACAAGCCATTTTTTCTGATCCTTTCCCCCTTTCTTTTCACTTGAAAGGGAAAAAATATAAGGGGGAGAGACTGGAAAAATCTGTTTATAAAAAAAATCAACCATAACCATCATATTCTGTGAAAACTTTCATTTTCGGAAATATTTACAGATATTCTTGATGGAAATTTTTTGATCAGCTCTATTATAAGGCACTAAAAATACAGTTATATTCTCATGTTACAGAAAACACAGCAGTTGTCTTTACATGAAATTAGGCATGAAATTAGTATAATAGAATCCCAGTGTATTTAATTGCAAAACATAGCCGCTATATAAACTGAAATGTAAACAAAAAAGTGATCAAAAGTGGTGCAGTTTTGTCCTACACATAGTACCATGGATGGAATCTCTTTCATATTCTAAAATACCCTAAATACCGATGTTTTGTGGCTATACAAATCCCAGTGAGCTAAAACTTAGTACACATATTAATAGCCCGAGAGATACAAATTTACTAAAATTTGCAAATCCTGGAAACAAACAAGATCAGTTGAATTGTTGGATGGGAACTGCAAAAAGAGAGGAGTGAGAAGAAGGGGAAATGTATTTTCAGAACTAATTTGTGTTTCATGAAAGATTAATAAATTGTAAATTAAATGTGAACTAAGGTAATTTGAAAATTAAATAAAAATCAGTTTATAAAAATCGTAAGTTTAAGAACACACAGTATCTTAATGATCAAATTATAGACCAAATCATGAAATTTGAAATGTTAATATGCTGGCTTGTAATCCACATTTCCCATATTTTTAGGTAGAATATGTTGGAATGCTGGATATTATATGAAAGACATACAGTACATGAGCCTAGGTTTATCTGGTATGCATTTGAAATAGGGGTCACTTGCTGGCATGCTACAACAAAATCCCTATCAACTTTATTTAAATCTTTAGTTCGTTAGGCTATAGCACTTGCATTTTGTCTTGGATATTAAGATGTAAAAATCTTAAAACAAATGTATATAAAGTCTATACATTACTTCATATATTTAATGTAAAGTCTTTCTTGCCTGTCCCTGTTTAGCACTGTAAAGTGCTCTCTTGCGCTGAGCGTTTGATGCAATTCTTAGCACAGGTAAACGATACTATGTAGCTAAACCCCTACCAAATTAATGGCCATGAGAAAGGTGTTCTGGACTGTTTTGAAATCTGGATTCCTACTGTGAAATCTGGTATTGCATATGCTTTTAGCCTATACTATACACATTTTATGGGGATACCAAACTGGGAGTCCTGACTCTAAAGGGAGTTGCAGGGGGAGTTGCAAGGCTATTTTAGGGAGGTCAAGGTATTATCACTCTTCTGTGCTGCCTTCAGAGCTGAGTGGCCAGAGAGTGGTGACTGTTGGCCGAGTGCCCAGCTCTGAAGGCACTGCCCTACCCGTAGGAGTGCAGAAGATTGGCGATATCATACCGTGCCACCTGTGCTGGGTGGCCAGAGGGTGGCAGCTGCTCATTGAGGGCCCAGCTCTGCAGGCAGCAGCACAGAAGTAAGGGTGGCAATATCATACTCTTAGGCTACGTCTAGACTACGGGGTTTCCCGCAAAACCCCCACCATGTCCAAAGGATGCGTTTGGCTTGAAGAATGCAGGAGTTAGGGGAGAGGGAAGGGAGTGTGGAGGCGTGGGGGCTCAGGGCAGGGGGTTGGGTTTTGTGTAGGAGATCATGTGGGGGGACTTGGGGGCTGGGGCAGTCCTGGTTATAATCAGTTACCCCACCCTGAGCTGTTCCTATTTCCAGCCAAATGAGAGCTGTGGGGGCAGCATCTGCAGACAAGGCAGCCTGCGAAAATCCCGTGCTGGGGGCCACATTCTGTAGGGACATGATTGCTCTGCAGTATGTCAGTCTGGCAGCTCTAAACTGCTGGCGAGAGCCCCGCTTAGAATGCACATGCCCCTGGCAGTGCTAGGGCCAGTCAGGCACTGGGCAGCCAGCCTGGTTTCCAGCTCCTGCCCAGGGAGTGCAGCAGCCCCACCCCCTCTCCTCTCCGGTGTCATTGACCTAAAGAAGCAGCAGCCCTGGCTGCTTCCAAATTCCCTGAAGTAGTGGAGCTCTGCCTCTAGCTCCCTGGCCCCTGCACCAGCACTATTTGGGGAACTGTTACGCGGTGTCCAGAGCCCCACCCCAGACACCATTTCCTTATTGGTATGGCATACCGGGATGCGCCGCCCTATTTTCACCAAGAATCTGTTCAGTATATCAGAAAGCAGAATGAAGAAAATCACTTTTAAGGGCACTCACCACATGCACACCGATCTGCGAATCAGAATTTGAGCTGTAAACTTGTCACAAAACCAGAAAATTATGTTTTCTGTTATCTATAATGGCACACTTACTATTATATGTATAAGTAGAAGATAGTTCAATAGCAGCAGATAGTCAACAAGCTATCTTGTTGACTGGAACTTTGTAATGCAACATGATAAATCCAAAACACACAGCCAAGCTAACAGAAACATACCTGACAAGAAAACATAAAAACATTTGGAGCTGTGGACTGGTCTAGCGTCGGTCCTGAGATGAACATTAAAGATGGCATGTGGAAATAGAAGACTATATGTGGATCAATAAAAAGTCAAGTGTGCTGAAAAATGTGCCCCTGCCTCTTCCTCTGAGTATCCCCTCAGGCCCCTTGGACAATGCCATCCCCTCTTCTTCTGCTGGAGTGCAGCCTACAAACAGAAGCAGCAGAGAGACCAGCCTTGACCTCCTCTGGTCTGTCTAGTTCCCTGGTTCAGGACCAGTCATTGTTTCTTTAAAAACTGCTAACTGGTTAGTTTAATATATATGCTGATACATCAAAATAAATGCACACATACAGTACAATTGAGATCATAATCTGGCCTCTCTGATTAATAGCTGTCTATATTAATTATTTAGGGACAGCTTGTGGTACCCTTGATCATGTAACACAATTCATTATTCCTTGAACTGTCCCCAATAAGTTGGAAGGTATCAACATAAGCAAAGACCTTTAATATACAAAGTTGTATTTGAAAACACTGATTTTGCTGTAAAATCTGGTTTGCTTAATAACTTAATGGAATTTGTGTAATATGTTTTTCTGAATTGTTAGCAAGGTATTTACGTCTCAGTAAGTATTGCTGTCCCTTAGTTGTTACTTATAATTGCATGCATGGCAGGGCTAGTGTCCCTAGTTGTGTTCATTCTCTCCTGAAGCATCTGACATTGATCGTTGTTGGAAGACAGGATGCTGACCTAGATGGGCCTTTGGCCTAACCCCGTATGACCTTTTTTTTATTTTCTTATGCTGTTTCCAGTACACTGAAAACTTGAACAGTGCCCAAAACTGCAGTAGCTAAGAGTTTTCCAATTGTATTGAAAATTTAAACTATTCTAATCAACTAAATACTCTGATTGGAACAGAATTTCATATTTCTTGGACTGTTTACATATTATTTTATGTTCAAATTATGTCAAATAACCACCAAATTTTACAATTTACAGACTCTCTTTTAGGGTATTTCTAGACTACCCGACATAGTCAATGAAGCGGGGATTTAAATATCCCTGGCTTCATTAAAATAAAAATGGCCGCCGTGATGTGCTGGCTCAGCTGATCGTCTGCACAGCGTGACAGTCAAGTTGCGGATCAGTCAACAAGGGAAACCTTTGTCGACCGCTCCTGTAAACCTCATTTCATGAGGCATAAGGGAGTGGTCATGTAGTCAGAAGCATGACTAGACATACCCCTAGTGATTAAAGGTTACTAGCAGGCTGCACCCTGTACTTGCTATGCTTGCTGACCTCCCCTACCCTGGCCGCTTTTGCTTTCATGGCCAGAGAACATGATGATGTCATTCTGTCTCCCGGCAGGAATTTTTTTTTTATATATAGAGAGATAATTAACAAGTTCTTCCTTCTCCATTTTGCAGGACAGCTGTGCAAGAGTTCTATTGTTCCGAGGAGCCAACAAGGAGTTAAAGAATTATAACAGCCAATCTCCATTTCAGGTAAAAAAAAAAAAAAAAAAAGCTATTTTTCAGGTTGAATTTTGCCCTTGAGCAGAGGATCTGAAAAAGCCCTATGTATTCTTAAACCCTGTTTTGAGTTGTATGACCTATTGGACTTGACCTGGCCTTCTGTATGGGGTGCCAATGGGGATTTACCAAGGAGCCTCATCCCAATTCAGGATGGTGTCGTTTTAAGGGGGTATAGAAATTTAGTCTTCCTTAGCTCTATTGTATTCATTTAGATTGAACACATATGCCGAAAGAAGCAAAGGTGTTAATATAACCATAGTATAATATGTACTATTGGTGTTAATGCCTTGTTTAGTGATTATCTCAAGTATGGTGCATAAGCAAGTGTCAAGCTTTTTTCGGTGTGATAGAGTTGCTGCCTTTAAACCACAGGGGTTCTGCATTTAGTCTTGGATGCTGTACCATGAAGGATGTGCAGTCACCATGTCTGGAGGAGCTGCTGCTAATTTGCTAAATCACTACTCTCCATTTGACATCCTTTCCCCTATCACAGTAGTATCTGGTATTCTAGTGCGAAGTAGCAGAAACAGTTTAAAGCATTTCCATTAACAATGAGTTGGATCCATAGACTCTTGCTATGTGAGTCATATGTCTCTTTAAGAGATTGTTTGGATTTTTTTGCTTTTATTTCCCCTTGGAGAGTCAGGTCAGTGTGTGGCATATCTACACAGGGGTTGATTGTTAATCCCCAGAAACATATACTAGGCTGCTCTGAAGCCAGAAATCAGGGATGCTAGGAAGAAGGAAGTAAAAGTATCACTGATAAAAGCAAAAAATAAAGTGGAATATTCCATGAGATTAGCCAGTGTTTACCAGAAGTTTGTTTGACAGTTTTCTCATATTGCAACAACTCTGAAAATCTTAATTAAAAAATCCGAAAGGAAAAAAGTAATCTGGCCAAGGGAATGTCAGGGACCATTAGATACCATGAAGACAACCTCTTTTTCAGAACCTGTGTTAGTTAGTCTGGACTTTAATAAGCTATTCATAATGCATGAATGCATTAGGTATGTCAGACTTGGACTTTAATAAGCTATTCATAATGCAAACTGGTATGTCAGACATGGAATTCAGAGCTATCCTACACCAAAAGAAGAGTATTCAATGATATGACACAAGTAGAAACTAAGAGAAAGCGATGCAGTATGATTGAAAAATGTCTTATTGTGAAATGAGTACTGGAAGTGTTAATATAGTATTTCCCAAGTGAGCCCCCTTTCAGGAAAATGAAAGCAATTGCACCCCCTTTCAACTATGCAATGTGCTATAAAGTTTTCTTCATTTTAATTCTTATATCTATTACACCCTGTTCTTAAGCCACATTAGATAACACCAGCATATAATTCATATATTCTTTGAATAGCGGAGTCCTTTCTTATATGCTTTGAATAGTGGAGTAGTTAAGTAATGTTGATGTTTAAAGGTACATAATTTACATCTAAATTAGCACCAATGAACATGAATGGAGCCAGCCAATAGTACTTCTGAGCTAATGTTAAAAAGGTCTCTGAAAACTCAGGCAGATTCTTCCTGCATTGGTTTCACTTGCTTCAACGGAAAGTTTTCCAAACCACCATATCAGCTTGAAACTAACTTTAAAAAAAAATACGAAAGGTGAGACTTTGGAGAACAGTTAGGAAACCCAGTATGCAACCCTGGCCAGTTCATTGCTCAAAACTGGGGACATGTGCCATGCTTTGGGATATTATGTCTTAGACACCAGGTTCACACTTGTAATAGATCACCATCCAGTATAATCTGGCACAATGCAATGTAATACAAATGTCCAGGTTTCTAAATGCTGTTACACACTATATGCTGTTACACACTACATGTAATCTAAATGCTGTTACACACTATAACTTAATGGTTTAAAGTAAGATGAAGTGGGAAATCAACATAAATATTCAGGCTACCTATCCAAAAATGGATTTAGAAAAATGATGGAAGTAAAAGAAATGAAAGCATAAATTCTTTCTTAAGGAGAGGGGCATGGGCCTTTGTGGTATGTCTCTTTAGAAGATGTTAGATTTTTGAGTTGTTTTATTTCCTTAGAGAATCCATTTTCTTTACTGTTCAGAAATTTCTTGTGGTGTGAGTAAACATGATATAACATGGTGAATAAAAGGTAGGTCATCCTTTGCTTGATTTTTCTCCTATTATGTCAATCACCACAGTAGTCTGTCTCTGTGTCCTTATCAGAAAATTAGAAAAAAAGACAAATAGGCAAATGCATATATCTGTGTAAAAGCTATTGCTGGTGATTGTCAACCTCTTCATGATTGTATGGGTCAGATTAGCCAAATCCTTCTGGAAGCACAGGCACAGCAGGTTAGCAAGTGGGAGGTAGAAGCCACAGGAGAAGTAGGCTAGTTGGGGAAGTGCTGCTGCATAGCTGACTAGTGAGACATATCCCATTATTATGGGATAAAATTCCCTACGTATATTAGGCAGTCATTTATATTATTTGCATGGATTGTTTTTTTATTGGGGGGAGGGGAGGTGACCTTTTCCTAAGGTGAAGAGGACTAATGCATTCAACTAATTTAACACTATCTGGATGGGAGCACGTTATTCATTATAAAGCTGCCTGTTTTGTATGTGTATGTCCATATTGCAGTTAGCCCATGTCATCTGACTTGGGCTTGCAGGACTCAGGGTAAGGGTCTATTTAATTGAGGTGTAGATGTTTGGCCTCATACCTCTTCCCTTTTAGGGAGGAGGGTCCCAGAACTCAGGCTCCAGCATGAGCCCGAATGTCTACACTGTAATTAAACAGCCATCTAGTCCAAATCTGAGTCAGCTGACATGGGACAGGCACGGGTTTAATTGCAGTGTAGACATACCCTAAATGACTACAGTGTCATGGTACTATATCCAGTGTAGATATTCATATTTCATTTTTAGTTGTGGAGAATGTTAAACTTGGGGAAGCTCTATTTTCTATAAATGCAGCAGAGGAAAGTGTAATGGCAGTATTGCGATAAAGAAGCATTAAAATTAATTCACTGCCATCTGTCTTTATTTTGTTGACCCAGTCGATCAGACAACACAAATGGAACCGTTACAAAATTATGCTAAAACCCCTTGAGTTAATAGGATTTTTCATACTAACAATGTTTATTCATGTAATCAGCAGAACTGAATGCTGAAGCCTCTTCTGTGTCCATAATGATGTGCAATGTAGCTACAGCACGTTTTTGTTAGCTATTTTCAACCATATCATCACAGTTATAGCTTATTTATGTTTTTATAAAGTCAGAAGGAATTAGTCTTTCTTGAGGAATAGCTATCTTCAAAATGTCCAGTATGAAAACTGGCCCTTTCTTTAAAGTATTTAAGCACTTCTTGAATTTTGTGGGTGGTTTTTAAAAGTCTATCTAAATGTCATTTTTTTAAAATTTGTTTTTTGGGAAACAAAATTGTATTTTGCATGCCAGCTTGTGTCCCAGGTATAAAGAGTGTTATGATGTGTTTTCTTTTCTGTATGGTCTAAGACATAAAAATAAAAATAAAATAAATTAAAATAAAAAACAGGAAATAAAAGATTCCTCAGATTTTGGGGACTTGAGCCTCCAAATTCTTACTCCTGGAAGTAAACTTTGCTCATGGAAGCGGGATCATTAATCTAATTAAGAGTTTGCAGGACTAGCTCCTTAGTTGCCTTTCAATTATCTAACGTAATTGCTCTTTTAGGATTAAATTCTTGCTTGTTGGTTGTAGATTAAAAGAAGGTGAGTCCCTTCTGCCTGTTTTTTTGGAGAGAAGAGGAAGTAAGGGGTGGCCTTCCTGATCCCATGGCTGAATGGAAAAGGGCATAAGTGGTGTTGTCTTCAACTGTGGCTAAAATCAAGAGGGACAAAGGGGCTCATGAGATTGTAGGAAGGCCTATAAGCAGTTGCAAAGCTGCTTCCCTGTGAACATGAAGAAGAAATCTAAGAGTGAATCTTTGACTATTGCAAAATACAGGACTATGTAGCACTTTAAAGACTAACAAGATGGTTTATTAGATGATGAGCTTTCGTGGGTCAGACCCACTTCCTCAAATCAAATAGTGGAAGAAAATAGTCACAACCATGTATACCAAAGGATACAATTTAAAAAAAAATTAATTGTATCCTTTGCTATATATGGTTGTTGACTATTTTCTTCCACTATTTGATCTGAGGAAGTGGGTCTGGCCCACAAAAGCTCATCATCTAACAATCTTGTTAGTCTTTAAAGTGCTATATGGTCCTGTATTTTGTTTCAGCTACACCGGACTAACACGGCTACATTTCTATCACTATTTGACAAGTGCTGCATTCTTCTTTCTGTCTTATAAGATTCATCTGTTATTTTCACCAGTTTTAAGAAGATTTTTTAGAAAATCCACAGTATTCAGCCAAGATCAGCTATCTAGTACACACCTTATTTTCCTCACTCATTTTATGCTGTTAGATTTATTTCTAAAGTGATCTCTTCTAAATATTACAGTATTAATCTAGTAGTTCAGGAGCATGTTTTGCAGTATACGTGAGCTACTAAAGTTCTGTAGTGCAACTCAAAGTTGGCATATGTGCATCTTATTTGTCAGACAACAATCTCAAATTTTGAAAATGGACAATAACCCTATACAAATATTGCATATATTTTCCTATGGATTATTACATAAACAAACTCACTACAGTATTAGATGGAAAAAACATCCATGAGAATAAGAACTTTAAAACTTGTTAGGATGCATAAAATCCCATCTATTTAAATATGTGTAAGAACAACCTTGAGAATACATTCTCAGTCCAACACAAAGGGTAGAGCTGTCTTTGAGGGTGCAACATGTGTCAACATGAATATCATACTTACATTGCTTATACTGTACAAACTGCTGCAGAAATATTCGTGTCAGTAGTAACCCTGTCAGTGGCAGTACTGGTAATGCTGACTATTATTAAGGTTGCTGACTTACTGTTATACAACTCTATTTTAGT